TATATATATATATATGTATATGTATATGTATATGTATATGTATATGTATATGTATATGTATATGTATATGTATATATGAAATCAGGAGAGAAAGGTTACTGGAAATCCTGGGGTGCCTCAACAGGGCTGGGCAGGGTCCCTTTGGGGGTTCTTAGCCTCATTAGTTAAATAATTCTGTTGGCTACAATAATTCTGTAGCCAACAGAAGCTCAATTTTTTAGAATTTGAAAGGAAAACTCAAGGACAGGCAAACTTCAACTCTCAGCCCCCTGAAGGGGAGGAAGGCATGGAGGAGACAGTGCTGTGGGGTCGGCCTGTGGCGGAGGAGGCTTTAACTAATGAGGAAGCCCAGTCACGCTTAAAGCACAGTGAGGTTCCTCCGGCACCCGAAGGAAAAAGAAAACAGTGGGGCCTACTTCAGGCCTCCTTGGAAAAGGGGGAGATCCCCAGACCTCAGAAAGGGGGAGAACCCCAGACCGCAGAAAGGGGGAGACTCCCCAGACCTCAGAAAGAGGGAGAACCCCAGACCTCAGAAAGGGGGAAACCCCCCAGACCTCAGAAAGGGGGAGACCCCAGACCTCAGGGAGACGCAGGCGTGTGTCCCATTCTTTAGCCTCGGGTCCACATACTAGGACGAGAACCAACACCCACAAGTTATCTTCTGACCTCCACAAGTACACTGTGGCTATTAAATACTGTAATAATAAAAAAATAAATCTGGCCAGGTGTGATGGCACACATCTTTAATCCCAGCTCTTGGGAGGCAAAGACACGTAGATCTCTGTGAGTTCGAGGCCAGCCTGATTTACAGAGCAGCTAGGACAACGCAGCTGAACACTGCTCACACCTGTCTCTTCTCTCCTACCGCCTCCCTTAGGGTCCCCCTGTCCTCCCTGGTGGCCACATGGGCAGAACGTGGGACTCTGAGACCTTATCCCAGGAGCTGTCGGCGTCCCTGGCCCGGTGTGTGTCGGCATCCCCGGCTGGGGTGGCTGGCTGGCTGGGAGCGCTGCAGACAGCAGACCGGGGGTGCGGCCATCTGCAGGTGTGCTGGCAGGAGGGAGAGGGTTGAGGTAGCTGGGGTGGTCTCTCGCCCCTTGCAGAACGGTGGACCTGCGAGCACAGCTGCAGTCACTGCGGCGGCAGCTGGAACAGATGGCTCAGAAGGGCCGAATCAGACGTGCTCAGAGCGCAGAGCTGAACAAAGAGCTGTGCAAGGCTCACAGGTGCGCCTCGGGCCTCCCGGAAGCATCCCTGGCTCTCAGCCTGGGCTCGGTCTCCCGCTTCTAAGAGGGGCGAAGGGCAAGCCCACAGCTGCTGACTTCAGTTCTGACACCTCAGCCAGGAATCTCCCCTCCCCCTTGCAGCTCCCTACTCTTGGCCTTCAGAGGAGCCCACCGGAAGCAGGAAGAGCAACGCCGGATGTTGGAGCAGCAGGTGGCTCGGATGCAGGCCCAGCAGGCAGAGGAGCTCTCGGTGTTGGCAGCCACAGCCAGAGCCCTGGGGATCCCCGGGGCTCCCCAGCCTGGCCAGACCTTCCTGTAGGACCCAAACCAAGCTTACACACACGGGTGGCAGACGTCTCATGAGTATCCTGTCCTGGGCTGGAGAGATGGCTCCAGCGGTTAAGAGCCAGTGTTGCTCTTGCAGAAGACCTGGGTTCAGCTCCCAGCCTCAACAGCCACAGTGTCAGTAACCCCAGCTAGGAGGATCTGCCGCCCTCTTCTGGTCTCTACAGTCTCTGCAGCAATGCACACATACATCCCCCCACTCACACACTCGTAATTAAACAAAATAGTGTTCTATCCTTTGTCCCTTGTGTCCGGACCACCTCCTGAGGAGGTGCTGAGTTTGGCTCGGAGTATCTTCCTAAAAGGGGATGGAGTGGGAAGGGTTCAGGTTGGAGGTGTGGATGGCAGCCTGTTCCCCCAGGAGTACTGGGGAGGGGGATCCCAGACTGCTTTGGGAAAAGGGCAGAGCGGTTGCTCAGCAGTATGTTATGTGCTGTTTCTGCCTGCCCAGCCCACCGGCCTGTGCTAAGGAGGCCTGGGTTCCGTCTGCAGCCCTCAGCAAGCATGGCAGGGCTTCTGCAGAGCACAGAAGCTGGGGCCAAGTGGGAAGAGGCCTGCCTATCATATGCAAGGCCCCGAGTCCCATCCCCAGTACTGCACACAGGAAGTCTGTGCCTACCTCCAATGCCAGCACTCAGGGTTCAGCTATCCTTGACTACCTAGTGAATTTAAAGCCAACCTGGACTACATGAGACAGTATCTCAAAAATGAATAAATGAGGGGCTGGAGAGATGGCAAAGTGTTTAAGAGCACCTGCTGCTCTAGCCCAGAACCTGACATGGGCTCCATTCCCAGCACCACATGGTGGCTCACAACTGTCTGTAACTTTAGTTCCAGGGAATCCAACCCCCTTTCTGGCCTCTGTGGGCATCAGGCACACACATGGTACACAGACACAAATTCAAGCAAACCACACATACATACATCTAAATTTAAAACAAACAAAAAACTTTATAAATGAATAAATAAGCAAATAAAACTAAAAATGGGGCCAGAGAGGCAGCTTATTGGGTAAAGGTGCTGCTAAGTGTGACAATTTGAGTTCAGTTCCCAGAACCCACATAAAGGTGGAGAGTATGCAACATCCTCAGCCATCAGGGAAATGCAACTCAAAACAACTCTGAGATATCATCTTACACCGGCCAGAATGGCTAAAATAAAAAACACCAATGACAGCTTATGCTGGAGAGGATGTGGAGAAAAAGGAACCTCCTCCACTGCTTGTGGGAGTGCAAACTTGTAAGACCACTTTGGGAATCTGTATGGTGGTTTCTCAGGAAAATGGGAATCAGTCTACCTCAAGATCCAGCAATTCCACTCCTAGGCATATACCCAAAGGATGCACATTCATACAACAAGGACATATGTTCAACTTATGTTCATAACAGCATTGTTTGTAATAGCCAGAACCTGGAAGCAACCTAGATGCCCCCCCCAACTGAAGAATGGATAGAGAAAATCTGGGACATTTATACAATGGGGTACTACTCAGCAGAAAAAAGCAGTGGAATCTTGAAATTTGCAGGCAAATGGATGGATCTAGAAGAAGCCATCCTGAATGAGGTAACCCAGTCACAAAAAGATAAACATGGTATGTACTCACTCATATATGATTTTTAGACATAGAGCAAAGGATTACCAGCCTACAATCCTCTTCACCAAAGGAACTAGGAAACAAGAAGGACTCTAAGAGAAAAATGCATGCACCCCGAAGAATGGGAAGGGGTAGGATCTCCTGAGGTAATTGGGAGCATGAGGACAGGGGAGAGGGAGCTGGCAGAATGAGAGGGGGAGAAGAGGAGGAGAAAAGGAAAGGGAGGAGCAGGAATATTGAGTTGGAGGAAGAATAGAAGAGAGCAGGATGAGAGATACCATAACAGAGGGAGACATTGTAGGTTTGAGGAGAGATCTGGCACTAGGGAGATTTCCAGAGACCTACAAGGATGACACCAACTGACAATCTAGGCAATGGTGGAGAGGCTACCCTAAATGCCCTTCCCCTATAATGAGACTGATGACTGCCTTATATGCCATCCTAGAGCCCTTATCCAGAGGCTGATGGAAGCAGAGGCAGGCACCACAGATATACACTGAACTGAACTCTGGAACCCAGTTGCAGAGAGGGAGGATTGAAGATCAAAGGGGTCAGGACCAGGCTGGCGAAACCCACACAAACAGCTGACCTGAACAAGGGGGAGCACATGGACCTCAGCCTGCTGTCTGGGAGGCCAGCACAGGACTGATCCAGACCCCTGAACATGGATGTCAATGAGGAGGCCTCTGCACTCTATGGGGCCCCTGGTAGTGGATCAGTATTTTTCCCTGGTGTAAGAAGGGACTTTGGCAGCCCATTCCACAAGGAGGGATGCTCTCTCGGCCTGGACACATGGGGGAGGGCCTAGGCTGGCCCAGGATGATATGACAGACTTTGGGGAGCCCTCATGGAGGCCCTTACCCTCCCTGGGGAGCAGGGGGGATGAAGTGGGGGGTTGGGGGTAGGGGAGGGAGAGGGAAAAGGGATTGCCATGTGAAGCACCCTTGTTTGTAATTTGAACTAATAAAAAAATAATCTGTTGGGGAAAAAAAAGATGGAGAGCATGGACTTCACAGAGCTGTTCTCTGACCTCCACACAAGAGCCCTGTGTGTGCACAAATGCTACTTTTTTATTTGGGGTGTGGAGAGAGGGCTCAGCAGTTAAGAGCACTCACTTACTGCTCTAACAGAAGACCAGAGTTCAGTTCCCAGCACCCGTGTTTGGTGGCACCTCTGGCCTCCTAGGGCATCCACACACATACACATAAATTACAACAGTAAAAATAAAAACATTTTAGTGTAGCTATGGTAGAGATCCTCTGAGACGTACACTTGTGGGGAAAGGAGGTCAGGACTTCTGCAAGGGCCTCCTCTGGAAGGAATGTTTTGTGTGTGTAGTAGCAGTATGTGAGCCACACCCCTCGCAGTGGGGCCTGGGATGGGGTCCAGCTGTCCCCTCCAGGCTGAAACCCTAGAGCAGGATTAGCCTGGAGGTGGGCCCTGCAGGCCACACCTGTGCAGATGTGCTGAAACAGCTAGCTATCTATCCTCAGGGGACAGCCACAGTGCCCCAAAGCAGCATAAGCCAAAGCTGAGAAGGTCAAAGGGGCTGAGGACCTGTGTTTGTCCCTCTCTCTGTGGGCTGTGAGGCAGGTCACCTTGCTGGTGTGCGGTGTTTGTGTTGGGGGGTCAGCTTCCTCTTTGACTGCCTCTCCCTTCCTACAAGTCTCTGGTTCTGTCATGCTATCATGCAGGTCCCTGGAATCGAATTCAGGCTTGGCAGCAAGCACCTTTGCCCGATGAATCGTCTGGGATTTTGGCCTTTAGCCACCAGATAGCAAGTGGCCAGCCAAGGTCGCATGTTGGGGGTGGGGGGCAGGTTCCCAGCCTGTTCCAATAGTGTCTGACTGTTCCCACGGGCATCCCAGTGGCAGATGGGCCCTGTGTCTTTGTCCCCAGGTCTTTGGCAGCCACAAGGTCAAATGTCACCTCGGGGCCACGGGCAGGGGTTATGGGGGCGTGGCAAGGCCCTGCCCACCCTTAGCGGGGGCCCCAGGAGTGGAGGTGGCGGGGATAATATGAGGCAGGGGCGGATGCTGAATTCATTTCTCTCTCCCCAAACTCTCCATTCCCTCAGTCTCCCAAAATCCCCGTATTTGGGCTTCTGTGACCCAGTCCTTCTGGAGCCTTCTTTTCCTCCTAAACCTCCCCACCTTTTAATCTGAGATACTGCCACCAAGGATTCTAGAACAGTCCAGTCTAGGACCCCTGTCCTCACCCCAAATAACCAACTATGACCACAAAACTATTGTATCTCCTGGGCCCATCCAAGCTTCTTTCCCACTGAAGCAGAGCTTGTTCCAATCCGATTCCTGGGAAGTCCTTGCTTGAGTTTAACCCTAGTCCTTCCTGCTTTCTGTGTTTGAATCTTCACATGGTGTCCTGACACTATTCTCGGCGCAGGGCAGGGTGCCCCTGGCCGGCAGAAGCCTGAACCTCACTTTTCCTTTAACCCCACCACCGTACGGTCTCCTCTTGTGGGATGATCTTCACAAGGCCCCTCGGGGGCCGACTAGGAGTGAGAGGGGGCAAAGGGGGTCCCCGTGGGCCGCGTGCCCTGGTATCCACACTGGACCCAGGCCTGAGCGGGAGGCAGAACCGTGACTCAGGGGTAAAAGGTCACCCCGGGAGTGGCTTTTCCAGCCAGTTAACGGGTTAAACATTAACAGAACTGGAATCAGGCCTCAGCTCCCCACCTAGGCCTTAATAAATGCTTGCCCTGGAGGTGCCCTGCATACAAAGGGTGCTTAATAAATGCTTGCTCCAGTAGAACTTGGGTCTGGAGAGGGGGCGGCAGGCTCAGGGGCGTGGCGGCAGCTGGGAGGCTCCGGGGAGCGGGGGAGACATCTGCGGCCCAGTCGGTCAGCAGGCCAAGCCCTTTCTACGAAGCACAGAAAGGAAAGGAAATGAAGGGGGACCGGGGACAACAGCCAGGGGCTGGCACGCC